CCTACAGGCTCACACGCCCGCCCAACAGGGTCCTGTCTGCCGCTGGGACACGCTCTGTCACTGTCCGCAGAGATCACAGCTCGCCCCTGGACGCTCACGTGCCTGCTGCCATGGCCATGGGGGCTTCCTAAATGCTGCTCTGCACAGCAGGGTGGCCGGGGTTTTAGGCGCATGTTCCTGGGATTGTCAAAGTAACACGTGCTGACCAGAGAACGTGGAAGCAGAATCAGAGAAGGGAAGTTGCCGACCACCACAGCTAGTATTCTGGGCACTTTTTTTTCCACTTTTGTTCCCACGTACACACTTCCTTGGAGTAGACTGCGTATCTGTACTTGGTCATGTCAGCACGGTGAAGCACCAGAGACCCAGGAAAGCCGCCACCTGGAGAAGGCTGAGGCTGGAGCAGAAACTGTAGCGTACACCTTTTCACAGAGCTTAATTTCTCAACCAAGTGAAAGCAACTTGCTGTTTGAAAAAGCAAATTAACAGAAAAATCACAGATATCAAACCACAACGGTGGTTTCTGCCCACAGGTGGCGGCAGAGGCACTTGCCAGACACTGGCCACCCCCCTGCTGCCCAGAGCACCCGGCCAGGCACCTTACTCCACGCATAGGGCCCACACGCGGGAACGGAAGGTGCAGTCGGTCTCAGGCCCACTGGGCTGAGCAGGGCCTGGCCGACCACCGGGAGATACAGGGCCCAGCACGGTCTGTTCTGTGGCCGGAGGGCAGCCTTGGCCACCTGGGAGGTGGCGTCTGACACAGCTCTGGACACTGCTCTCAGCCCCACACGCGGGAAGCTGCCCTTATCAGAAGGACTTGGGCAGAAACCAGCAGCAGTACCCAGCACTGCCCTGGGGGACGGGGGGCAGCTCCCTGTCCCCTCTGGTCAGTACCACCAGAAAACAGAGTTGTCACCAAAAACAGGAGGGACAGCGAGAGCCATCCATCCAAATTGCCCCAGTATCCCTGGCTAGAGCAAGAACAGAGCAAAGAGGCCAGGGGGCACCCCCAAACCACCAGACCCCTTCCCACTTCCACGTTAGACAGGTGGAGATGCAGAAAGTCAAGGGAGCCGGCTCAGATCTGAGAGCCCTGGCCACTCCTGCATCCTCAGTGCCCACAGGGCCTGGCCCACGCAGCGTCATCAACTGCTGGGCACACACCCTGAGCCAGGCCAAGCCCTGCCTCCTCAGCCCACAGCCACCGCTGCCAACGTTTAAGGAGCACCTGCTGTGTTCTCAGCGCACAGGCACAGGCTGGA